CATCTCTCAGGAAGTTCAGGTACAGAAGGGGAAAATTGTGAGGTACATTGCAAAACACTTTGTGTTTCCTAAATTTAAATGATATATTTTGATATCTCATAGGACAGGTAGAACAACTAAACAACTACCAAGGGAGAGTTTTTTTCTTATTCAGTGGCCAGTCAAATATGGTGCTTTTTTTGTCGGTGTTGCTTTATGCCATTGGTTCCCTACCTGAGGTTTTGTGTTCTTCGAGGTTGTAAATTTGCACATATTAACTTGAATCTTGATAACACAGTTACTGGATAGTTTATAGCAATCTTTTGGTATGAACAAGTATAACTTTTATTTCCTGTGGGTCCTGGGGCGTATCAGCTTTTCTTAGATACAACTAGAGGGGGAAAGGCTGGGAACCACTGCTTTTTAGTGTTGTCCCTCATGCATTCAGTTATGGATAAAATGCAAAAAAAATATTTTATAAAGTAACAAGCCTGTTTGTATTACTTGTATCCAACGATAAGCTTTGACGGCCAGTTTTATTTTACTTCTTAAAGTTTTATTATTGGTACATCTCTTACTTGCAGCAGCTGCAAAAGTACCTATGGATCTTTCTGTACGATATCTGTACATATGAAAAAGAACGTAATGTCTGATATTTATTAAAGTTTAAGTGCCTGTGGTATTTTGCAAACTGCGAGTTTTGTGTTTTTATTTTTTGTTACATGAAATTTTCAATTCTGCCCACATGTATCTTCTGCTGCAACTGTTAGCCTCAGACAATTTGTGTAAACTGTACATGAGCCACTGTGGGTCATAACCTCTGAGCATCACTGCTTCACTTTTAGAAAAACAAAGTGATGTAAGACTTTTTTTTAACTGTTTGAATCAGATCCTGATTAAATTACCATAAGTATTAAATTACCATAAGTAGGCTAACAAGGTTTTCCCAAATTCTATGTTAGCTCCAAAGTTTACAGTGAAGCAATATTTGGCACATAGGGGGAGACAGAGGGTTTATATTTATGTTCACTATGACTGCTTGTTCTCCAATAATCATCTAAGCACCCTTTTTTATGAGATTAGTCTTTAGAGCATGACTGTTTCTCACCAGTCAAAGTTAGTTATAGAGACTCATTTATTAGAAAACTGTATGAGTCATCATGACCTTATAAACTGCCTGAGACGTATTTTAACCAATGTTATTCAACATCTTTTCCAGGAAAATTATTGTTACCATTTTTTTTATTAGTAAAAATTGTCCAACCTGAGGTCTTGATATTGTTTCTGGAGAGCATGAAGACATAGATCCAGCTCAGTTTCTTTGACGTGGCAGATGATCAAGCCATTTACAAATAAAAATGCAAGTTTAACTTCTCCTAATTTAGTTAAACTTAGCTTTTAGCATGCCATGAGTATGAAAATGTCTGAGTTTCTCACAGCAAATCTGCAGTCACTCTCTCTGCAAGACTAGGTTAAGTATCCAACTTTAAGACAACAGAAAAGGCAGCACACTCAATCTCCTAGAGCAGCAGTGTAAGATCAAAAACCATCTGGTTGTTGTAGTCTTTTTGAGGTTGTGCACCGGAAGAATTATTACTGTTTGAGTGGGCTCCTTTTTCTGCATTTCTTTTTGGTATCTTACTTTACATCAAGATACTTATAAACTGCCTCAACTTGCCTCTGCAAAAAGGATGCATCCCTCTTGTTTCAGTCACAGAGGGTTCCACTTTTTCAGTCTGTGAATGACATGACTGGCATTAGGATATTAGATTACTCATGAATTCTTGTCAGTGACGCTCTGCTGCAAATTAGAGCTGCATGCTCAATAACGCTGTCAGCATTTCCCCACGGATAAACAAAGAGAGCATTTTGCACCAAACTAATCCCGGAATAGAAATGACTCACGTCTAACATCTGAATGCTCAGAAGTTCCGAAATGTTTTTGATTTAGAGGAAATGACTGAGAGAAAAGAGAGTATGTTTTCATATTTACAATATTTGTTCACTTTCAAAGTTAAGTTTGCAGATTTTTTATGTATTACGAATCATTCTATAGTAACATAAAGTGACAATGAAAGGTTGATAAAACCCCAAAGTAATTTGAATTCCAGAGACAAAAACACATTTTTTGTCATGTGAGATTTGTTGGTCCCTCAATTAAATAAAATGGTTTGTCTCCTTCTACATCAAAAGTACATTATCAGTATAAAAGACTATACAGTCTCATGTTACCATGGTGATGATTGTAATTATGATTGTATTTGTTCAGACAACATGTTTCAAAGAAGTGTCAATCAAGAAGGATGTTTTATTTGTTTTGAGCATGTGTTTGCTTGTTGTCTTGATGGATTTGAAGGGCACTGAGCAAACACTATGTCCTAAAAAATATTATTCCCACAAATTCATAAAGTGGTTGTGGGTTTTCTGTAACAGCGTCTTATCGTAATGCGCCTTGGTTATTTTGCCTAGCTCTTGTGATTTTTTTTTTCTGAAACACAACAAAACCACTTGTTCTTGGAAGGGTTGTTGATCGATTTGAGAACTTCTCTCTCTGCCCTTCAGAGGATGACTACATCAATTTCCAAGAATCCCCCTGATGGTTGAAAACACAGGGATGAAAAATCAATTGCAGGGCTCAAAAATCTGAGCATTTCCATTTATCAATTCTTCCACCTGTCAATCTGTACCTGTACACTGGTGCTTTTATCAGCCATGAATCATGAGCTTTCTCCTGTACAGTAAGTCCATTTGATCAGCTCAAAGGTGGATGAGAAGGGTTTTTTAGACAGGTATAGAAGATTCAGATGGATCTGGGTTACACCCTTCAATTGTCTTTGAGTATTAAAACATTGCTTTTCCTGACGTGAACCTCTTTATGTGTTTATTTTTTATCTTACCACTGACATCAGTGTATAATATGCCTGAAATATCTAATAAAAATGAGGCAGAGTTAATGTAATCAATATCTGTGCTTTTACTACAATCACATTTTTGCAGTGAAAAAGCCTGTTTGTATTCATAGTGAGAACAGGAGACCTCTGGTATTTTTTAAATGACACTGAAATGGTTATTTAACATGTACTTAGTTTGGTGCATCAGAACACAGAAAACGCCTTCACCATGCAGCATCAGGTTTTCTCCACAGGAAGTGCACACTAGAAATATTTTATCACACTTCTAATTAAAGGAAACCCTTGAGGACACAGACATCAGTAGGGCTGACCTTTCATGTAGAATTGGTTGATGCTGTGCCTGGCATTTGTCACAAAAGAACATTTCTTAAATGCAGTCAGCGTGGTGCCTGAGAGTCTTTTATTGGTATCACAGCACAATGCCACGTGCCGGGGTTGTGCGTGTGTCTGTGTCTTCGAGACAAATTTAGCTCCTTGTGCCTGGTTCTTAAGAGACCCATAAAATGCGAGTAATCTTTTTATAAGTTGGATGCAAAGACGACGTCACTCATCTGACTCATCAGGGTTCATGCTGCCTCTCACAGACCCAAACAATCACACACGTGCAGTCAATCAAACAACCTAGAAGCCTGGTCTAAAGCATGTTCCTGTATTAAAATAAATATATAAATATATATATATTCATAAATAAAAAGACAATAATACATCATACACAAAGTTTTACCTTCATATAAAGTTGTCTAATGAAACTTTTGAAAATATCATGACCAAGAAAATCTATATATTTGAATTTATTGGTTTCAACTATTCCAGTACCACAGAAATCCTCCATGGTCATTGTTAAACACTTTTAAAAAGTAATCTTCTTCATCAAAGCAACAACAAAGAAATCTGAGAGATCAGAGATTTTCTGTTTGTTCTTGAGAAAAACCTCAGTTATAAGTATTGTTGTTAGTATTATGTAATTGTTGATTTATCAAATCAGAGGCAGGAATCACACAAAATGTCAAATACGTTCAATACCTCTTACGTAATGGGTTTCAGAGCAACAAGCCTCTCGGGAAGTGAATTCATTACAATATGATAAGAAGGAGAAAAGAAAAGCAGTGTTCCCACCATCCGACCACCTGCTGCCCCATTTTTATGATCAAATTTTTCTTCTTAAGGGAGACACAAATAAAAGCAGATTTAACCACAAAGCTGCCCAGGGGAGAGCCTTTAGGTTTATGTAACCTTCTTTATGTCCGTCCCAAATCCCTTCAAATGGATTCTCCTTTTGTCCGGTTCAAATGCTATTTTTGCTTCAATATTCATTGCTTCTAAATCCATATTTACCCAGAAACCTTGTCAGAGTGACCTTTACTGGGGGACACACTTTCCTAAAGCTTTCCCCATAGAATTCAAGCTTTAATTTACACGAAATGCAGCATACTCAAAGTTGTTTTTATCGAAGGAATCAGCAGCCAACATCACATGTAAGAGTTTATAAATGTCAGTCAGGATGAAAAGGGTTGTAAATAAAAATAAAGATTACTGACTGAGAAATTCAGTCAACAGAAGAACATTGTTGATTCAAGTCACACACATGCAGCATATGAAGCCTGGTGAGAAAGGCTTTCTAAAGCACACCACAAAGCATGTGAGGAGCGCTCACATGTGCCTCAGATTTGATACACATTACAGGCCTAACACGTTTAAGGTCAGACTTGTTTACAGCAGCTCCCTATTTCTTGTCAGAAAACACGTTTTATTTTTAGCACTTTTATCTAAATTAAAGATGGAAGCTATCTTTAGAGATAGAAATAGCACTCCTTGAATAAATAGACAAAACAAACCTCTGTCTTTGTTTTCCTGCCATTTTTTTTCTCATCTTATCATTCCCCTGCTTTTTTTTTAAATTGACTTCTTTCCCTCTCTTCACTCTTTCTTCTCCTGCCTCTGTTTCTCTCTCCATCAATAGGTTGGCCAATGACAGAGTCGGGGCTGAGGAAATGGATGGTGTGTCTATTTTTAGAAGCGCATGGAAGGAGGGTGAACCAAAAGTAAGCTAAAGAGAGAGACAGAGGGGGAGGGGGAGGGGGAGGGATGAAGAGGGATGTGAGGAGGAGATAAATCTGCATTCTGCCCGCTGCCTCTGGTCAGAGACAGCTGGAGTTACCGAGCACGCTCAGGGAGAAGCCGGAGCATCACTGGTTGGAGACGGATTATCATAAATTTAAAAACACATTTATCTGCAAAAAAGGCTGCAGATTATTTGATTGTAGATATTGCAAGAACAGAGAAAAGAAGAACAGATCAACTGGACCTGACAAAGACAAAGGTGAGTGGGGAAGTCAATTGTGCAGAGAAACCTTACATCATTGCTGAAAGTGCATCAGTTGAAAACACATTGGGTTCCTGTTCTGTGCTTTAAGGCAGAGCTGCTGCTGTGGAACCATTTTTAGCCTCTGTTAACCAAAGGTGCAGTCTATATTTAGCAACGGTTACACCTTGGAAGAAACTGGGAGAGGCTGGCATTCTGGTTTTGGCTTGTGCTATTTTTGTCACAAGGTGGAGACCAAATTATTCTGTGGTCTCTTCTCAGGGTTACAACAATATGGGGTTGCATGATAAAATATGAGTTGACACGTTCTGTGGCTCCACATGACTGAGATCGCATTTAAAGTAAGCATCTATTTATGGTGCTGCTCGCTGCTTCTTTTTGAGATTGTTTGGATATGAGGCTGTTTGGGCTGCCACTCCAAAGTAAGCAGGGCACGGTGTGTGAAAATAGGAGAAGAGGAGGGAGTGAGGAGGAGGAGGAGAGGAAAGCTAACATGTGGACTATATTTGAAGAGAGAAATGGACAGAAATGTTAAGAGGTTATTCACAGTAATTAATCATGTGAATAATGCCCAGAATGTGACTGCTAAATAATATCACAAAAAACCAATCATCTGATGAGGTATTTGCACCTTTTGACGACATTTCTTTGCTCTGCCTCTGGATACACAATGCCGTGCATAATGTGATGTCATACACTAGTTGTTTACATGCTGATCAATACAATCATGTTTTCCTAGATGGATAACTCACAGATTTTTGATTTTCACAACAGAACCAGGCTGTCAAAGCCCTGGTTTCACCTGTGAAAAACAAATCCCTTTCCATTTTAAAATCAATAGAATATCATGTTCCTTATGACGTTACATTGGAGAGATGTTATTCTGGCTCTGAACGTGTCCTTGTTTTTCTTCCAGCCATGCGGCCACGATCCAAACGGCTCTCCAAGAGGAGACTCCTGCTGCCCACCATCCGAGAGGGCTCTGAGGAGGTAGTGAGGGATTTGAATGAGGCCAACTCGCTCATCATCTCTGGCCAGTGCCAGGCTGTGTCCTCTGAGGACTACCTCCTCTCTATCTGCCATCTAGCCCGTCCCACCTTCCCCAGCGGGGATTCGTCCACCTATGTCTCCTCACAGCAGCTGGAAGCCGTGCACCAGAGGCTGCGGCTGTCACGGATCACTGAGGCGGCATCAAACACCTTTCAATCAAACCCTAACAAGGAGGCACATGACATTCTGCAAAAAGAGCAGGAAGGAAAGAATGACGAACTGATGTCAGGTAGATCTGACCCTCTGGAGTACCTTTACGGGCACCAGAGCAACCACTTGGGAAGTATGAGGAGAGCTTTCAATGAGGAACGGTTTGAAAGGCATCATGGGAGCGTTGAGGAGGGTCGGGCTCGCACCAGAGCTCACAGCATCCCCCATGCTTCAAGTCCAGACGTCCCCCAGCAACGCAAGAGCAGCTGCCCTGAGCTTTACACTGGCAGTAACACTCTAATCCCAAACATCTCCCCGAAACACAGGAGGCCAGCAGACAGAGGAGCAGAGGGGGAGAGCCCGACCCCCACCATCAAACAGTCCCTGCTCTCACAGTGGATCTCTGACTGCAGAGCAGCATGGAGGGAGGCACGGGTTCGGGCCTGCATGCTGCCTGCCATCGCTGAGATTTAGGCCACAAATGACCAGACAATGTGTCAGAAAACATTCCTGATCCTCATCTTTTTCTGTCAGTGCATGACACAAAGACGTTAGAGAGATTTAGATGTGTATTATGCAGATTTGTGAATAATGCATATGATAAAAATACACATTTAAAAACATGTGTCATCATCCATAATGTTACATCAGTGTTATTGTTGATTATTCTAGCCTACATATACTTCATGTATGGAGATAATCATACAAATAAATATATTTTTTATATCCTTTAAGTGTTTTGTGAAGTCTGCATAAATAAATAAACCTTTGATACCCCAAACTAAAATGTCATTTGATTTCTTTTCTTGGTGCCATGATCGGCGTAAATCCCTGGAAAATCAACTCCATTCTCCTCTCTGCTGGTGCCAGGCGCTCATGTTACTATGGTAACTGTCGTGTGATCCTGTTCTGGTAAACAGAAGTGTGGAGAAACACGAGCTGAGTACAGGGGACAACGTGTAGCTGCACATAGGATTCAG